CCTACGTACTATAACGTAGTAGTGTGGAGACCACAACAAATTACATTTGAAAATGATTAAATCGTAGGTTGACAACCTAAATTAGAATTAAAATAAGTGGGAGGAGGTTAATCTCTGGACCTTAGAGATCTATTGTGTCCCCCTTTCTTGAGTTATAACTCATCATACAGTCCCAGGACTTCCTACGGAGACCCGTGTCCTTCGCAGTCGAGGAGCTACGACCCAGGCCGGGTAGACGAAACGGTAGCTTGTGTCGCCTGTTGGGTTTAGAAGTAGGAGGTAGGCTCCCGACCCTTGGAGGAGGTGGTAACTTGTATGCCACTTGCGGAGGATGGTTTCACGCAAGTGTCAGCCACCTCTCCTGTAGTTTTCTTTGGCTTTGGCCCCTCGGAACTTTCATTGTTACTGTTCCCAGTGTTGCTAGGGGGTCTCCCCACAGCTTCACCGGTGATGTTTTTATTACTATTATTACCAGATCTTATAGTGTTCCCATGAGTCGCTAGGAACAGTCGGTTCACTTCTACAGAGCCCCGCATGTAGAAGTAAGGGGTAAAATACAATGGGGTGCCCCCCGATGCCCCAAGGGTGAGGCTGTCCGTAGCCCCGCCCGGTATCGTTATATGTCTTGGTGCAATTCCCTGGCCACGACACTACAGTCAGGGACAAGACGATGAGTGAGATGCTTCTTAGACCAAGCCAAGTGCTAGGGGGGATTCCCCCAGCACCTGACCAGGAGCTTCCCCACCAACGACAAGGTCTTGCATCTCCTAGGGGAAGTTGACAACCCTAGGCATGTTGACATTTTTTGGCTGGTGTGGTTTGCATTGTTACCTGTTCAGTTTTAATTTAAAAATAGATGCAGTTTGTCCCAAACTACTCAAAATCGGCTTATCCAAAATGCATGCTGAATGAGACCTTTGAAAAACTTACCCACAACTCAGCTGCAAAACCAACAGGGGAGCCAACATTTGGACAGTCCAAAATTTGCACAAGACCTTCCATGCTTCTACCGACGATGCACCACCTGGCATAAATTTTTCTTAAAAGTACTATTGGAACTGAAAATTAAAATTAAACTTAAAACTCAACCAAACCAAGCTTCTCTAGTTCCGTCATTATCCAGAAATGAAGAAGTCATTTGGAAGTCACAGAACAGCTACCTAGCAACTACCGCACCTGATCGTTCAACCTTGTTGCAAGTGAAAAAATGCGTAAACATCTAGAAATAATAACAAAAAACAGCAAATTGGTCGAAGGAATTTATCCTTATCATTTACTCTGATAAATGTTTAAATAAACTTTTCAAATTTCAATCCTTCATATTTTCTCAATGACTCGACCGATTTTCAAAATCGAAGCGGGGAAATATAGAGAATAGAAAGCTCTTTTCATTGCGGCACCACTTGACCCCCCTTCCCATTTAAAAAAAGTTGGGGATGACACCCCCGCTTAGAGGGTTGAAGATTTTGCAATCATTTTTGGGGCTAAAGTTGTCCCCCACACAAACAAAATTGACGTGTTTTTGGATTTTTTGAAAAAAAAATATCCTGGCCGTTATGTCTTGCGGAACGTTTTCGATCGGCCACCCTGTATATTAAAATATGTTTCTTTTATCGAGATCTACCAGCCCTCAAAATATTTGCACTTATCTCATCCTGTATCAGCGTAAATGGATGCTGAATGCGTCTCAGTTGCACGCTGCTTCAATCGTATCAACTGTTTTATCCAAATCGAATTGGAAAGCTTCGTAACATCCAAGTAAGTAGGAACTTTCAAGGAATAAAAACGGCGTCAAATGGCGTTAGCCGGTAAAGTCCGTAAAATAGAAAGTGTACTGATAGGGAGAACATAAGTTGGAGAACAATCAGTTGCCAAGTAACAGTTGGAGTAGTTACTAACTTCAGGTTTGCACAGATAAAACATATCGCATGTTTGTACCATATTTTTGGATTTCAGGCATTAGAAGTTCCAACATTTCCTTAAGTAGCACAGTTTTTACCCGTAGATTGGTTTTCTAAGTTTCTATACTTCAAGTTCTACTTCGCGAAGTAAACTGGAAGAAGCCACAAGTGTCTCACACTGGAATATTCACGTTCAGACTCAAAATCTATTTCCTTTTTTTTTACAAAGTTTTTTATATAATTCAAGTATATAAGCCTATCTGCAACTAGCATTGATGTGGTCTTCTTGCTTTATTGTTTTTGGTATAGTTTTTTCCACTGGTATAGCTTTTTTCCACTTACTTCCAATTAACTTCATCAACATATAAAAATGCTGTATCCCAGTACGTTTCTTAGTGGATTTAATAACTTATTTTTAGAAATATATATTTTAATTATAGATTATAGTAAAAAAGACACTAATAAAATCTAACGTATAATTTTATCGATTTTGTAATTTGTGCTCCGTTAAAGTTTGTAAACATAAACATTTAAATTTAAGTATGTTTGGTCACGATGATTGCAGTACACATTAACTAGAAAATGAATACATTACTCCAAATAATGCACTTATCCAGTGACGCATACAAATGTGTATACATGTGGAAAGAAAATTATTGTTAAGTTTTTAATGCCTACAGAAATAAAATGTTTGACCACCATTTACCTCTATTTTTAAAGAAGTTATTAAAAAGTAATATACATGCAAATTGGTGCTCAGAAAGGAAATATTTTAAAAGTACATAAAACATCTAATAATTTCTTTGGTTTTGATTTATTATAGACTTTTTCAAAAAAAAACAATCAAGCAAATAAAGTAAGGAAAATCTATTTAATAAAAAGTAAATAAAATTTATTTAATAATTTATATTTATCACTAGCGTGTACCAGCGACTTCGTTCGCGTCGAATTAATCATTTGTAATGGTGATGATAAAAGCAAAGCAAAGAATTTTCATTAACATACAAACTGGATAAAATTTTCTCACATTTATGTCAGCATGAGAAAAAACAATATGACAATTTATTATGAAACAAATTTATGGAAACACCCTGTATAAATTTATAAAAAATCTTAAAATATGTAAAACAACAAAATAAAATATACGTGTTTAAGAGTTTTTCCGAAAAACTCACCGGTTTTTAAATAAAAAATATTTTAATATTTGAGGGATAATTTCACCCCCTTAGAATTCCAGTTAAAAAATCCCTTCTTATCGAACCTCTACACCCTAAAATCAATCTGTTTTCCAAAAATCAGCTTTTTACGTCAAGCGCTCTAAGCAGGATCGTGATTAATCAATGACCAGATTTTTCGAAACACCCTATAAACATTTTTAAAAAATCCTAAAAGATGTAAAAAAACAAAATAAAATATACGTGTTTAAGCGTTTTTTCGGAAACTTGATCGTTTTTTAAATATTAAATAAAATAAAAATGATATTAAAAATATTGTAATATTTGAGGGGTGGTTTCACCCTCTTGGAACTGGAATTTCGAAAAATTCTTTCTTATCGAACCTCTACACCCTAGAATCAACCTGTATGCCAAAATTGAGCTTCTTACGTTGGGTGGCTTGAGCAGGATCGTGATTAATCAGTATGTCAGTCACTTAAGGATTTTATACAGGGTGGCCCATCGAAAACGTTCCGCAAGGCATAACGGCCAGGGTAATTTTTTTTTCAGAAAATTCAAAAACACGTCAATTTTGTTTGTGAGGGGGACAATTTTTGCCCTAAAAATGATTGCAAAATCTTCAACCCTCTAAGCGGGGGTGTCATCCCCCAATTTTTTTCAAATGGGAAGGGGGGTCAAGTGGTACAGCATTGAAAAGGGCTTTCTATTCTCTATACTTTTCCGCTTCGTTTTTGAAAATCAGTCGAGCCATTGAGAAAATATGAAGGATTGAAATTTGAAAAGTTTATTTAAACATTTATCAGAGTAAATGATAAGGATAAATTCCTTCGACTAATTTGCTGTTTTTTCTTATTATTTCTAGATGTTCACGCATTTTTTCACTTGTCACAAGGTTGAACGATCAGGTTAGGTAGAGTGTACTTTCTTTTTGAAAGGTGTAGTTAATCGGCACAACTGCCGGTATTGGGCTGAGGACAACCCCAGGGTTTTTCACGAGGTGCACACACAAAACCCTAAGAAATTAAACGTGTGGGCTGGTATTTTTATGAATTCTATTAAGAGTCCTTTTTTGCTTCCCGGAAATCTCACAGGTGATATGTACTTGGATTTACTGGAAAATACCATCGACCTAGCCCTAACTGACATCATAGAGAACAATCCTGGATACGTTGAAGCGGAACTAATATTTCAACAAGACGGTGCACATTACTCTCAAAATGTGTGTAATTATTTAAACAATAACTTTCCCATTCGGTGGATAGGACGAAGGGGTGCAATTGAGTGGCCTCCCCGGTCACCCGACTTGACTCCTTTAAGCTTTTTTCTATGGGGACACATAAAAAGTAAAGTGTATAGCACTCCACCCGCCTCATTAGAAGACCTGCGAAGACGAATTATTGATGTTTGTTGCGAAGTGACCCCGCAAGTTCTTCAGAATGTTCTAGAACGGGTTGAAAATAATTTGTATTACTGTATGGAGGTTGACGGGCAACATTTTCAGCATTTTCTTCATTAATAATATAAGTTTTTTTAAATTAATTCAATTTATGCGTTTTTTGCAAAAAAGTACTTTTCAAATTTCAGTCTTTCATATTTTCAAAATGACTCGACCGATTTTTAAAAACGAAGCGGGGAAATATAGAGAATAGAAAGCCCTTTTCATTGCGGCGCCACTTGACCCCCCTTCCCATTTAAAAAGAGTTGGGGGATGACACCCCCGCTTAGAGGATTGAAGATTTTGCAATCATTTTTGGCGCAAAAGTTGTCCCCTTCACAAACAAAATTGACGTGTTTTTGGATTTTTCGAAAAAAAAATACCCTGGCTGTTATGCCTTGCGGAACGTTTTCGATGGGCCACCCTGTATATTAATATAGATTCGATAATTAATAATCTAGAACATTCCTTTTTTGAAATTTATTTCAGGTCCAAACTCCAGCTTTAAAGATGGGATTTCGAAAACTAGAAAAGATAGGAGGTGGGTTAAATGGAAGGAAAGTTGCTCAGTTGGATGCCTGATCGAAATGCTACCTTAAAGTTTTAAAATTCCGAATTATTCCAATGATTTAAAAAAAACGAATATTAGCGATTTCATTTTTATTGTTTTAGCACTCTATTTCAATAGATATCGCAAAATAAATTATATCGTATTTTCAAACCGACGGCGACGTTTCGCTTATGATGTAATAAAAAAACAAGGGTCGTATTTATACAAAAATTGATGATTGCAGCCATCAATTTTTGTATAAATACGACCCTTGTTTTTTTATTACGGATTTTAAGGTAATAATGAAATCGTTGTAATTCTATTGTATTTGGCGGTCTACGACTTTTTTACCGGATCGGAGTATTATGTATGTGAAGAAACTAATTTTTTTTTTATATTGCAATCGATTTCAGCACCGGCACCGGCACCGATTTTGTCGGTGGTTGTGAAAACGCTTTTAAGGTGGCATTTTGATCAGACTAAAATTGCGCAATTTTACTTCTATTTAACCGACCTCGTATCCAGTGATGAGACTCTAATTTGAGATACCGTGTACAAATTCTTCGTCCTGTATTCCTTTTGTATATGTATTAACGAAATTACAATCTTTGCCTGGTGAACGTATTTCTTGAAATTGAGACTGAGACAGAGTGTCCCATTTTGGTTGCACATAACACCTCGCTTATTAGTAAAGATATAACCTTGCGGTTTTCATGAACCTTAGCTACTTTTAATACAAGACTCTCTAAGATCTGCCGCAAATAACATTTTCATGGCCTAATTAGTTTCCATAATATAGGGTGATTATAACCTTTCGTTGGTCAAGGGCAAAGTTGCGCCTTGGGCTGTTCACCAAGATGCAATCAAAAAAGTTTTAAAAAATTCGAGGATTGCTGAGTTTTTTTGGAAATAACGAATTTTTTTGAACACTAATTTTATTTTTTCCTGTCGTTACTTTTTAGAAAATCAAAAAACTAATTGCACATTCTCATAGCCACTATATTAGGGCTTTCTGATAGTATTTTTAGATTTTCAAATCAGCTGATAATTTGTGAGATACAGAAGCCAACTTAATTTTTTTAAATACGGACCTGCATTTTTTATTTCAGATTTTGAAAGAACTCGCTCTCCTGAGTACAACGATGTGCCACACTTTATACTTTTTTTTTGTTTTGGGTACCTTAACAGCAACAAAACTATCGTCCGACTCTGTTTTTTAAATTATTTAATCAGTGCTAATTAACATTGAATAAGGAAAATTGAGCCAATTGAAAGATTCAAATAAATAATATCCAGATCAGTAATTTAAAGATATTATTTTTAACTTTTCTTAACTTTGAAATTCTCAGTGTACGATCTAATAATTTGCATAATATTAAACGTAGTTATTATGAATAAATTAACTTCTACAAACTAGTTCCTAATGTTTTACATAGTCTACATCGAAAGGGTTACTACCCTCCCTATTGTACAAATTTATTTTTCGTTTAATTTTATTTATAGCTCTTGAATTGATCTTCTTATACTTTCGAATGGATTTTGTACACTTTATTGTAACTGTCCAGATGTGTTGATTTCACTTTTTTGTAAAATTTGTACCTGTCGAATTACTTGACGTCATCAGACGGTCCAGGTACTTCGTTGGCCATTATACTGCTCTACCATTTCCAATTCATCTTCCGGGGAAATGATTTGATAGTTTATATTACATTTTATTTATATTACTTTTTGAATAATTTTATTACATTTAATTTTCCGTATCCAACCGCACTGTCAAGTTTAAAAGCTTATCAATATTGTAACGATGAATATATTAAATATTAAAAAAAAGAAACAGAGCCGGACTTGAAATTAGTTTAAATAAATTGTGTCCAAATTTCCAAAACAAAAAAAAATTAAGTGTGGCATATCATTGTACCCACGAGAGCGAGTTCTTTCAAAATCTGAAATAAAAAATGCAGGTTCGTATTTAAAAAAATTAAGTTGGCCTCTGTATCTCACAAATTATCAACTGATTTGAAAATCTAAAAATACTATCAGATAGCCCTAATAAAGTGGCTATGAGAATGTGTAATTAGGTTTTTGATTTTCTAAAAAGTGTCGACAGGAAAAAATAAAATTGATTTTCAAAAATATCCGTTTTTTCCAAAAAACTCAGCAATCCTTGAAATTTTTGAAACTTTTTTGATGGCATCTTGGTGAACATCCCAAAACGCAACTTTGCCCCAATTTAACCATGTTCGTATCTATTACGGTTACCGAGTTACCAATGCATGTACCTCGAATTTGTAGCACCCTGTATATATGATTTGTAAGAACATTCGTTTATTTTACTTACAAATTAATGCAAACGTTCAACTCTAATAATTATTCTACTCTAATTTGAATCATTTTAATGTATTTTCTGTTGGGTATTTTTTTCTCAGCGAAAAATTAATTAGATCATCAGGAAGTTCATTTTTTCATTACAAATATTAATGATCATTATTCAATCTTGTATTTAATTGAATAGTTCATTTCGAAGGTAATACAAAGGATATACGCCTAATATTGCTTAATACGAAACAATATTGTTACGAAATCTGCTGATGTTAACACATCAAAAGATTATGCTATAATAACTATCATTAAAATCTAGTCTTCGGGGCAAATCAAACATAGTATATCTAATAGAGTCATTAAAAAATCCAACTGAAAGAAAAAAGTATAATTGGCAATGAACAGAATTTATTACCTATCAAGTCTTGATCATTCGTGTTAAGTGAATTATTGGTTTTACCATCTTATATTAATTTAACTTTTTTATGTATTAGAAATCAGAAAGGTGTAATTTTTATAGCTTTTAAATAACAAGTTGTACACACTTTATAGTTATGGTCAAATAAATGATACTTATAAAGTATGAGCAGTATCCAGTGATATATGTGTGTACAGGGTGGCGCCTCTTATACGCCGTGGAGGCTCCAAGAAGAACGATAGTTTGTATTGAAATGAAATTTTGTGAGCATATGTAGGTTAGTTCAGGGCACCTTTTAAAAATATAGAGAATTCTACAGGGTGTCCCCCAAAAAAGTTACATATCAAAGTTGTGTTTTTTGTAATGGAACACCCTACATATTAATTGATTTTCGGATTCTAGGAGAAAAATAAAGGTGAGTTTTATAAGAGAAGTATATGACTAAAATGTAAGGTTTTTGACATATTTAACATTTTCTAGAAATAAAGAACAATTTTTAAATTACAATAAAAGCTACCTATATTGGAATTTACCCGGTGTAGCCTAATATGTAGTTAAACTAACTATTCTACTTTAAATCAAATTAAAACTTGATCCAAAAGGACATACAGGGTGAGACAAAATTAATATTGAACATTGGTCACCTTTAAAAGCATGTTACTCTCTTATTTTAAATGGAACACCCAGTATATTATTCCGACATTTAAAGGAGAATTCCTGTGTCTTCAAAATACTATTAAGGTTGCCTACCCCTCAAACAAAGATTTTCCTAGATATTTTCATTTACATGATTTGATCTGAGTAGATCTTTATTATTTGATAAAACCTAGGTGGCTGTGATATGTCTGACGTCTTCAACATAGCTGTCTAATTAGTTCAACTTTAATAACTAGTTATAATTTTTTGTCAGTTAAAACAAAAAAAATATTCTCAGGAATTTGCGAAAATGCAAACTTACCAGGCGAAAGAATTGATATGATTCAGAACCATCAGAAAGAATTGATTGATAATTCTATTAGTTGGTGAATGCAGTGTGCATTTACCAATTAATAGAATAATTAAATGCTCCTGATTTTATCTAGTCTGAGTTTTTTTATGGGGATATGTTAAAGACAGTGTTTAAAAAGCTCGACCAACTAGTGTCGACAGCATGAGATAAATTATTGTAGCTGCTTTATCAGGTAGAACTCCACATAATGCCTTTTAAAATGAAAAGATCCTTTTGAAAATACAATCATTTTATGCAGTTAACAGGAAAGGAAGCATTTTGAGCATTTGATTTCATCCAGCTAATTTTTGTCGCACAATATTATAGGTTTATATCTAGTTTTAATTCTGTAATAATTAAAATATGTTTTAAACGTGTATTTTTTATTACCCTTGAGTTTTTTACTCCACAATCTTTAATTTTTGTTAAATTAATAAAAGGTATATCACACAGCCACCTAGATTTTTTCAAATAATAAAGATTTGCTGACGCAAAATCATAAAAATTAAAATATCTGGGAAAATCTTTGTCTGAGGGGTAGGCAACCTTAATAGTTTTTTGAAGATATATAAATTCCCCATTGAACACCGGAAAAATATACTGGGTGTTCCATTTAAAATAAAGGAGTAACTTGCTTTTAAAAGTACTAATGTTCCATATTAATTTTGTCTCACCCTGTATAACTTTTCGGGTTAAATTTCAATTTGGTTTAATATACAATGGTTACTGTAATTAAATATCAGGCTATTTTAGAATAGAATTAGAATTTAGAATGAGTGGGAGGGGGGTGAATCACTTCGACCTTACAGATCCATTGTGTCCCCCTTTCTTGAATCATAACTCATCATACAGTCCCAGGGCTTTGACAAAAGCCAGTATCTGGGACGGTTTTATAGAGGGTAGTTCTCCATCTCCAATATCAGTCGTACCAAAATTCATGGCACGAATGGTTGTCGTCTCGGCGCACTCAGTGATGAGGTGTACTGGTGTTTCCCCATCTTCCCCACAGAATCTGCATTCGCCGTTTCTTCTTAGTTTCAATCTACTGAGGGCTATACAAGGCGAGCTAAAATTTATGTAGCTGTTATCGAAATTTAAAATTTACTCTTTATTTTCACAAAATGTGAAATATGTCAAAATCCTTAGATTTTAGGTATATGCTTCTTTAATAAAACTCACCTTTATTTTTTTCTTAGAATCCGAAAATCAGTTAATATATAGGGTGTTCCATTAGAAAAAAATACAACTTTGATGTGTAACTTTTTTTGGGGACACCCTGTATAATTCTATATATTTTTATAAAATGC